TCTTTAAAAATCTACCTCCGCGGTCCATAAAATATATTTTAAAAAAATCCACAATTGTGTCCCTATAGGTCCTTAAAGAAATATTCTTAAAAAATACAACTAAGGTCCTAGTTGTCGTGATTTTTATGCAAATTAATTTTCTTTCAGAAATCATTTGGATGATACTCGTTCCGGTTCTCTTGTCCTTGAAAAAAACGATTTTTAGAAAAACTCACATTTGTCCTTGAAACAAAATTGTATATTCTATCTTATGTTACATCTCGGATGTCGCATAAAACAACTTCTTACGAAATGATTAAGGACAATTTTATGTATAATGTTAAATAAACTTGCCAAAGTTCCTGGAAAATAATTGAGACTTGTTGCCATTGAATTAATAAGCAAAAAAAAAAAAAAAAAAAAACAAATAACAAAAATTCAAATACGGTCAAGAGCAATTTCATGACGATAAGGAGCACATTAAAATCTTCTTAATCATTGTGACCCAGGTATTAAGGATATTTTGTTTCACCCACACTCAGCTTTTTTTTTGGTTGGTTTTCTTTGAATTTCGACGGCAATGTCGGAACAAAAGAGAAATGCCAATAATTAATGTTAATCAAAATTAATTTGATAGAAAAACTCTTTCTACCTTTCGCTTCTTTTCACACACACACACACAGACACAGTTGTGATTTTAATCGACTCCTTATGTCCGGGGCCGTGATAAACTTTGAATCGTGGCGTTTACCGCGTTTGACAACACTCAATTGATTGATGAATTATCGTGGAAGTTGTTAAGCACATTTTCTCTCTCTCTCTTTCACACACACTCTTGTATGTATTCCACCCACACACACGTGTGTATGTAGCAAATTTACAAACACAATTAAAATTGGTAGTCATCACTCATTGATGCAATCCAACGCCAATAAAGGTTATATCAAAGAGCTCCAAGAGACTCAATTTAAATGTGTCGTGTCGTAAGACGTGAGTGGGTTTAATTTGTCCATAAATCCCAAATAATGTTCCAGTGCGGGAGTGAATGAGTGCGAACATACAACAACAACAGCAACAGCTGTCTTTGAATATTGGCTGATGACAGCTTTTAATGGTTAAATAATGATGCTGATGTGTGTCTCACGAACGGATGTGAGCGGAAATTAAAATCGCAAAGGATTTCAAAAGTGTAATTAAAATGTCTTAATGAATTATTCGATTGTGCTGAGGTGTCAGGATAGCAAATATGAGAGAGGCAGTAGAAGAGGATTTTCTAAGGGCTTTCAAGATCAAGTGAATTAAAATGTGAAAGTCATTGATTAACACATTTCAGAGTACAAAGGTTATTCAGGATTTGAAAAGTAATGCGAAGAAAACGAATTCGGTTGGCCTTGAATTTGAAAATAAAAAACTGTTATAATTTAGTAGAGTTCCACATAACAATTAAAAATTTTTTATGGGAGAATTAAATCATACACGCTATGATTATAATTAAATTTGAAGTTCAAAGGACTAAATATGCCGAAGCATTAGTATCTTTTAAATTCTGACTTGTATTGCCCATTTGGAGCAAAATTAATTTAAAATCGGATAAATATATATATATGGGAGCTATATCCAAATCGGGACCGATCACGATAAAATTTGGCAAAGATATTTCTGAGCTGTATTTGATATATTTCCCTGAATATCGTTGTTACGGAGTGCATATTACGGTTGTGGGCAACAAAAATATAACAAGTCGGATGAACAATATATATTGAATCTATAGCTATATCTGAACCGATCTTCACCAAATTTGACATACAAGCTTCTAGACTCAATTCGGTCGTAAGTGCCAAATTCCATCCCATTTGGACAAATATTAGACGTTTGGTGCAAAATGAAAGGTAAATCGGACGAAGTTATATATGGGAGCTATATCCAAATCTGAACCGATCTCGATAAAATTTAGCAAATGTATTTCTGAGCTGTATTTGATATATTTCCCGAAATATTGTTGTTGCAGAGTGCATATTACGGCTGCGGAGGACAAAAAGTAACAAATCGGATGAACAATATATATGGGAGCTATAGCTATATCTGAACCGATTTCGATCAAATTTGGCATACTTATTTTCAGGACTAATTTGGGTGTTTATGCAAAATTCTATACAATTCGGGCTGATACTACACGTTTGGTGCACAATAAAAGGCAAATCGGACGAAGATATATATGGGAGCTATATCTAAATTTTGACCGATTATCTCCAATTTCAATAGGGTTCGTCCTTGGGCCAAACAAATAATCTGTGCAAAATATCATCTGGATCGGGCATTAAATGCGACCTGTACTTTGTTTACAAAAATTCATGGACAGACGGACGGACGGACATGCATAAATCGACACAGAAAATGATTCTATGCAGATCATCAAAAGGAACTATGGGTCTATCTCGTTTCCTTTTGCCTGTTACAAACAAATGCACAAAGACATAATACCCTGACCACCTTGTGGTCATATATTTATACGAAAAGTACTAAGTGCTACTAAATTGGATATTGGGTAAAGCTGGAATCTTCAAATTTCATACTGAGGTCTCTATTGGTATCTGGAATTGAGATATGGAGATGGTTCTGAAAATGTGTACCAAAATTGTACAAAAGTACTAAATAGCACTATTATTGATATTTAGTGAAAGGATAGAGCTGGAATCCCGCAATTTGATATTGAGTTCTCTGTTGGCGGTTAAGATATGAAAGTGGTTTTGGAAATGTGTACTAAGTTTTCGAACTATACTACATGGTACTAAATTTGGAACAAATTGGTTTAGCGTGAACGGATGAAGCTGGAATTTTGAAACTTTGCATTGGGATTCCTGTTGATAGTAGGTTTGTGATAAACATGTGCTTTTGGAAATATGTGATTGTATTGGAATTGTGTACTATAATTGCTCGAAATGTACTAAGTCGTACTAAATTTAGTATTGGGTGAAGGGATAGAACCGGAATCGTCATATTTGATATTGATGTCTCTGTTGGTATCTGCAATTGAGATATTGAGGTGGTTTTAAAAAGGCGTACTATAAATGTACAAAAAGTACTAAGTAGTACTAAATTTGGTATTCAGTGAAGGGATAGAGAAAAAATTATAAAATTTGATAATGAGGTATCTGTGTTTAAGATTTTGCGGTGCTTTGAGAGTAAGTCAAGTATTTGTACGAAAAGTACTAAATGGTACTAAATTAGCTACTGGGTGAGAGACAGGGTTGGATTTCCAAAATTTGATATCGAGGTCTCCGTTGGTATTTGAGGTTAAGATTTGGAGGTAGGTTTAAGATTTGGAGGTAGCTTGTAGGTCCTACTTTCGTACGAAAAGTACTAAATGTCATTAAATTTTATATTGGGTGAATAAAAAAGTTCAAATCCTAAAAATTTGAGTTGGATGTCAATGTTGCTGTCTGTGGTTAAGACATGGAAGCGGTTTTGGAAATGTGTACAATAATTGTAGGAAAAGTACTAACTAGTACTAAATTTAGTATTTATGAAGGAAAAGAGCTGAACTCCTGGAATTTGATATAGTTGTCAATGGTGGTGCCTGTTGTCGAAAGAACGAGCTGAATTGTACTAAATGGTACTAAATTCGGTTATGCTGGAAATTAGATTTGAAACCCTGAAATTTGATTTTGAGGTCACTGTTGGTATCTGAGAATAAGTTATGAAGATTTTTTAAGCTGAAATTCGAAATTCAATTGTTCTCTGGGATTGAGGTATGGTAGTGGGTTTGGAAATGTGTACTATAATTGTACAAAAAGAATTGAATCTGCTATTGAAGGGAGAAAGGAAGTGATAATTGTCGGTCGTTAGTTGGTCCGAAAAATTCCATATTCACATCGGATATCTGGTTTTAGAGAAATATTTACATATTCCAATTTGTAAAGAATCGCGAACTTGTTTCGCAACTTATGATATCGCATTGACCCTTTGTACCAGAAGGAGTGGGCCTATATCTATCATGTTCATATCAAATCATGAAATTCGAAGAGACTTGAATATTGGGATTTACAAAATTGAAAGAAAATCGGATGCTTACTTTGCATTTTATGAGAGTTATCAAAATTTTGACCCTGTGTGGGGGAGGTACCAGAAGAAGTGGTCCGATATAATCCATCCTCACACTAGAACTTGTGCTAAAAAAAATATTGGGATCTTCCGAGTTTGAAAGGAATCGGATGTTCATGTCATGTTTAATGAGCTTCGTGGTTATTCAAAATTGTAACCCTTTGTGGGGAGGTATCAAAAGGAGTGGAGGAATGCCGGTAGAAATATGAGGATGTCTGGAAACAATCGGACACTTATTTCACCATTTATAAGAGTTACAGTTATTCCAAAGGTTGACCCTTTGTGGGAGAGGTACTTGATGGAGTGGGCCGATATTGTCCATTTTTTACCTGACCTAGCACTGATGCACTGACGATGTAAATTATTTTCTGTGAGAATTTTAATCATTCATGGGGGAGGTACCAGAAGAAGTGAACAGATCTTGCCCATCGCCAAACTCGATCTAATTTTGATAATAATATTACGATGTACCAAGTTTGGACCAAATCGGATACTCCATTAGGGAGTTATCATGCGAACGGATGGACATCGACTCCAAATGTTCAGAAACGGATTTGTTTCCAAGGGACCTAGGTCCTAAAATCATTATTTCGATGAGGCACATTTTGGCCGTATCACATGATATATACCCTCCCTGGCCATATGGCTGAGGGTATAAAAATGGGCTAAAAAGACCCCTTAGAGATTCTCGGGGTCTTTTATACACCCAACTCTTAATTTTTTAATTAATACTAATATTATGTTAAACTTTTATAAAATAAAATTATTTCAACATCTAATTATTATTTTTTTTTTCTAAATTTACAATTTCGCAAAGGTGCATTCTACTCTAAACGAAAATTGGTGCAACAAAATCTCTAAAAAAAGCAATAAAAAGCATTATGACTCAGTTTACAGTTTACCTGCATCGTTCAACCTACCAATAGCTGGAGCGGCGGCAACTTTAATGGCTGGAGCAGCAGCAACATAACTATGCGAGGCAGCATAGGCAGGAGCGGCATAATGACTAGCATATCCATGACCAGCATAACCAAGACCGGCATAACCGTGGCCAGCATAACCCAAGCCGTGATGGATGGCGGCGGGGGCAGCATAGGCATGGCCGATGGAATGTCCAATGACAGCGGGTGCAGCGGCAGCATAGCTGATACCGTGAGAAATGGCTGGAGCGGCGGCAGCATATGAAATGCCATGTGAGTAGGCTGGGGCTGAATGGGCCACGCTGATGGCTGGAGCGGCATGAGCCACGCTGATGGCTGGGGCAGCAATGGCATGAGCTACAGGGGCAGCGGCGACTACATGACCTTATTGTTTAATGTTAGATTTGCCAACATTCAACATAACAAATAATAACAACGACAACAATAACAACGACATACAACAACAAATGGTTAGAGATACAAAATACAAAAAAATTACAACAATGGATGCAAATTAAATACATTTGGAGAGTTATGTTTGGTGAGTAGTTGTTTTTCGTTTTATGTTCAAGACAGTGCGTGGGAGTCAATTTGGTTTGGGTTATGTTTCGAGATTAGTTTTTATGGACAAATAAATCTCTTAATGTGACATATATTTATTTTCAAATTTCAATACTGTGCATGTTTCTCAAAATGTTAAAAGTGCCTTCTGATATGATATTTTATGTTTTGTGATTTCTTTGTTGGAGGATATTCTTTGGATGGCGACTTACCTGGAGCAGCATAACCGGCATCATTGCTAATGCTCGAACGTTGTACATGCGATTGTGAATGGGCCGTTTGGACATGACTGGAATAGTCCGATTGTGACGACTGACCGTAATGACCCTTGACGGTGTGCTCCTGCGATTGTCCCACCGAAGCGTGGTCGACACTGGGTGCCGAAATGGAATAGGCAGCTGGACCGCCGGGTTTGGCATAGGCACAAGCCAACAAAGTAGCCAAAACGAATACAATCTGTAACGAAGAGAAAGGCAAAGAAAGGAAAATTATAAATATGCGGTGCTATTGTTTTATGGAAGGAAAGGTCAAGAGGATTTTGTAGCATTCGGAAAATATTGCCTACATTTAGGAAGGTTGCTAAAAATGTGAAAATAATTATAAACCTCTATTTGGTCAAAGCAAGCCATCTCTATTTAGCCATCGAAAGAGTGACCCTCACGCAAAATTTCAAGATTTTAGCTTGTGCCGTTTCGTGTGGACTTGGATGAATCCCCTTCCAGATTTAAGATTTCTAACTTTACTGGTTCGTCAAAAAACAAAGGGTATCCTATTGAGTATCTTTTAGAACTTTTCGAACCAAAAACCCAGCCTTACATGGCTCCTTCGGACCTAGAGTGATTCTCACCCAAATTTTCAAGATTATAACTTCAGCTGTTTCATCTGGGCGTGGATGAATCATTAAGTCAGATTTAATGATTTTTTTTTTTTTTGGGTAAGGATCACCCTTGGTCCGAAGAAGTCAGATAATGTTGGATCTTCTGCAATTCATACAGGGTTGCCCATATTCGACGGAACCATCTGGCAACGCCATAACTTTTGACAGAGATGTCACATCGCTTAATGACATACCGCGTTTGAAGCGTCAGTCCAAGCTGATTTTTACCATGGACCAATACACGCCACGCGAGCGCTCTGAAATACTTGAAATTTACATTTAACAGAAGAAGTCAACTGTGAAAAAAAATGATGTGAGAAGTGCGCCTTCTAAAACACCATTAAGCGTTTATACGAAAATTTTTCGACTGGTAAGGCTCTTTCTAATCCGAAGAATATCGCTGCCGTACAAGCCAGTGTTGAGAGGTCCCCAAGAACATCCCAAAAACGCCGTTCTCAGCAGTTGGGCATGGCTCGGTCCACTTTACAACGGATTATTCGCATTGATTTGCATTTGTTCCCGTACAAAATTCAATTGACGCAAAGAATGTTGCCTGCGAACAAGCCTCGCCGATTGGAATGGGCCCAAAGGGCCCAAAGGTCCGTCGAATATGGGCAACCCTGTACTAGAACGTTACGAAAAGTACTTAAGGGAACTAAATATGGTACCCTTTGTATTTGAGGAAGCTATAACGCTTAAATTCGGGATGAGGGTCACTGATGGAGTGTATGATGGATGCACCAAAGGGCTTTTATACATTCGCACTATAAGTGTACGAAAAGTACTAAAATGTACAGTATTTTGGTACCATTTCGTATTATGTGAACTGTTAGAGCTAAAAACTTGAAATTTGGAATGGTCATCTAGGTGGAGGAGTAAAGTCGAGGAATGGAGGGGGTTTTGTAATTGTGTACTCATGTATATGAAAAGTACTAAACGGTACTAAATTTGAAGCAACGAACGGAGCTGGATTCCTGAAATTTTAAATTAAAATTACAGGCGAGGAGTAGGATGGAGGTAATTTTCGAAATTTTTATTTATTCGTACGAAAAGAACTAAATGGTACTTAATTTGGTACAACTTCGATTGAAAGAACGGATAAAGCTGGAATACTGAGATTTGAAAATAAAATTAGTATTGCATTGTAGAAAGTTTTGGAAATTTGTACTAATGTGTTCCAAATGGTACTAAATTTGGTACAAAGTGAATTTTTGTGAACCAATAGAGCTGGAATCCTGAAATTGGGAAATAGTACTTATATTGGAAATTGAGGGCCACTCTTTTTGTCAGATAACACTGGGGTTTTGGAAATTCGAACTAGAACGGTACTAAATACGGTACATTTTTGTATTTGAAGAACAGGTAGAGCTAGAATTCTTAAATCTGGAATGAGGCTGACTGATGGAGTGTATGATGGGTGTATCAAAGGCTTTTTGGAAATTAGCACTATAAGGGTACGAAAAGTACATAAAGTTACAACATTTGGCACCATTTCGTATCATTTGAACGAATAGTGATAAAAACTTGAAATTTAGAATCGAAATATAGGTTGACAAGTAGGGTCAATGTAAGAAGGCAGTTTTGGAAGTGAGTACTTATGTATACGAAAAGTACTAAACGATACTAAATTTGGTACAATTCGAATTTGGAGGAGCGAATGGAGTTGGAATCGTGAAATTTGATATTAAGATTATTGGCGGAGAGTAGGTTGGGAATATGGAGGTAGTTTTCGAATACAATTGCGGTACAATTTGGATTTGGGTGAAACTTGAAAATATCAATACTATCGAATCTAGGATTGGAATATTTAGTACTAAATGGTACTAAATTTGTTACAATTCTAATTTGGAATAGCAAGTGGATCTGGAATCCTGGAATTTGAAATTAAAACTAAATTCGAAGAGTAGGATTGGGATATGGAGGTAGTTTTTGAAGTTTGGATCTGTGTGTACGAAAAGTAAAAAAATGGTACGATATTTGGTACAATTTCAATTTCTGGAGGACCAGAAGAGTTGGAATCCTGAAATTTGGAAATAAGATTTCTGCTGGGTGCTATGATACAGGTTGTTGTTGAAATTTGTATTCATGTGTACTACATGGAACAAAATTTGCATCAGTTAGGTTACGGAGGAACGGAAAACGCTCGAATTTTGCATTGGGGTCCTTTTCTGGGTGGTAGATTTGCGATAAATAGGTAGTTTTGGAAATGCGTACTACAAGTACACGAAAAGTACCAAATAGTACTATATTTGGAACAATTTTGTATTGCGGCAACGGGTAGTGCTTGAAATCTGAAATTTGGTATAAGGGTATCTGTTCATGTGTGGCATGGACACGTGGAGGTGCATTTGGAAATGTGTACTATAAATGTACGAAAAGTACTAAATGGTAGCATGTTTGGTTATGGGAGAAGGATTAGGGCTAGAATCCTCAACTTTAATACGGAGGTATCTGTTGGTATCTGGAATTGAGATATGGAGGGGGTTTTGGAAAAGTACTAAATAGTACTATATTTGGCGCAATTTCATATTGGGGGAACTGATAGTGCTTGAAATCTGAAGTTCCGGAAATATGTACGAAATTGTAAAAATTGTACGAAAAGTACTAAGTGGTACTAAATTTGGTATTGAATGAAGGAATGGAAATAAAATTCAGAAATTCGATATTTAGATGACTGTTGGAATCTGAGCTTGAGCCTTGGTGTGTCGAAATATGTCTTATATTTGTACGAAAAGTACTAAATTTAATATTGGGTTAGAGGATAGAACTGTAGTCGCGAAATTCAATATTGATGTCCCAGTAAGTATCTGGGGTTTAGATATGGAGGTATATTTAGAAATGTGTACTATAATTGTTCAAAAAGTACTAAATGGTACTAAGTATGGTATTGATTAAAGAAATAGCCCTGAAATCCTGAAATTTTGGTAGGAATGTCACTTTTGGTATTTGTGGTTGAGAGAAGGAGCTCTGTTTGGACATGCGTATCATAATTGTACTAAATGGTACTAAATTTTGTAATTGAGGAATTTACAGAGCTGAAATCCTGAAATTTGATATTAAGGTCACTGTTGGTATCTGAGGTTGTGATATGGAGATTGTTTTCAAAATCCGTACTTTAATTGTACAAAAAGAATGAAATGCTGCTAAAATTGGTATTAAGTAAAGGTTTGAAGACGGAATCCTGAAATTTGGTATGGTTGCCACAGTTGGTGTCTGTAGTTGAGAGAAGGAGTTGGAGTTGAAGAAGTGTACTATGAGCGTACGAAAAGTGCAAAATACAATAACATGTGCCGTTGGGTGTTGAGATTGAGAGGTAATTCCGAAACTTGGTATCGGAGTCACTGTTGGTATCTAGGGCGGAGAGAAAGAGGTGGTTTGGACATGCGTTATATGACTGAAGGAAAAGTATGGTATTAAATTTGAAATTGGGTCTTAGGATGGAGATCGAATTCTGAATGTTGATATTGAAGTCTCTGTGGGTGTCTGGTGATGATTTGCAAATGCGAAGTAAAATTGTCAGAAAAGTCCTAAATGGTACTAAATTTGGCATTGGTGAAGGGATAGGGCTGAAATCCTGAAATTTGATATTTCGATAACTATTGGTGCCTAGGATTTAGATATGGAGGTGATTTTGGAAAAATGTAAAATAAATGTATGAACAGTACTAAATGGTACTACAATTGATATTGGTTGAAGGGATAGAGCTGTAATCTTGAAATTTGGTATTCAGGTCTCTGTTTGTATCTGGGATTGAGATATGGATGTGTTGTTGAAAATGTGTACTATAATTGTACGAAAAGTACTCATTTTTGTATGAGGTGAAGGAATAGAGCTGAAATCCTAAAATTATACTCTAATTGTACTAAATTTTACTAAATTTGATATTGGGTGAATGAATGGAGCAGAAATTCTAAAATTTGATAATGGAGTCACTATGGGTTTATAATGTTTATATATGGAGACGTTGAAATAGTTTTGGATAGAAAGATTGCAAAGGTAATTTCCTCGTTTGTTGTCTTCAAAATTAAAAATTTTCCTATTTTTCTTTCTGAAAAAGGAAAACCTTGAATTATGTGTATAGTACGATGTATCAAGTTTTGATTAAAAAAAGGCCTAACACGAACTGTTGAAACGAATTTTATATTTAAGGGTCGACTTGTCGCTTATGAAGATTCAATTTTAGATTGTATTTTACGATTCTTGAGAAGTTATTTTATTTTATTTTATTTTTTTTTTTTTTTTTTTTTTGGATAATAAAAAAAATCTCGATTTTTTCTATAAGGCTATAAAAAAAAATCTTAAAAAATTCTTAAAATGTCTTAACAATTTTTTTTTTTTTTTTTTTTTTTTTTCAATTTACTTTAAACATTTTCTTGTGAAATTATCAAAAACATCACCAAACACAAATAATCTCCGAAATTTCAAATGTTTTGTTTAATCCTAACAGGCAAAGTTTTTGCACGTTCCATTGGCTACGGAGACTGGCCAACGTGATATTCGTTTTCCACTATCTCTCTCTTTGCGAATTGCAATTCCAATTGCACGCTTCACTAAAATTGTCTATTTAATGGGTTTTTAA